CTGGCTCGCTATGCCTTGCATCAATGTGCTCAGGTTCTTTTTAGTGTGTGTCTCTCTCTCTCTCCCTCTTTAGCTTGTACCTTGTTAGCCGGCCTGGCAAGCACGCGCTGCTGGGCTGTTTTTTGTCGTATGCTTGACAGCTATATTTTGCCTACAATTTTGGGATCAGTTGGCGACGGAGCGGAGTTGCACGCTTGCGTCGCGCAAGCGGACACAATAGGGAGTTTTCGTAGATCGTTTCCGCTGTCCCGCAACGCTCTCCGGAACTCTACAGTCAAAACCATCGGCACGCCGGCGCGGTAGCCGCTTCTTCGTTGCGGAGGGCATAGCGGAGGGGGAAACACGGTCTACGAAAACTCGCTAAAAAAGCTGTTGTCTCCGCTTGCGCGACGAAGCACGCGCAACTGCAAGCCTGCCGAAGTTGCCCTTACGTGCATGCGAATATGGTTGCATGAAAGAGGCACCAGTAAAAACACAAGCAGCGAGTTCCGTCACAACACGTCACATCAGAACACAACACAAGGTGCCCTTTGTTTGTACAGCACTTAAAACGAATATGTTTATTTTTCTAAGAATATTTGCTCCAAAAGCCACTTTTGCTGCTCCGAAACACTGCATGTCTTGGCTGCTCCAGAAAACACTTGCTGCTCCAAAACACTGTTTTGGTTGCTCCAAAGGCTCATTTGCTGCTCCAAAACACTGTTCTGGCTGTTCCAAAGGTGCTCCAAAATGGCTTTGGCCAATCACATCACTGCATAATGTTCAGCCTAAACGTAGCGCTAGCGAACTAAACCACATGCAAAAGTCTATCTCAATTTACAAAAAGAAAGTAATTTTTTTGTAAATTTTAATGGGAAAATGGGACATGTCTTTGCCCATTTTCGGTAGCTGGCGCCATTCAGCTCTCCACAGGTCCGTTAGTCACAATTTTCCCAACTAAAATTTAAGAAAATCGCGTATAACCTGAATAAGATAACGGTTAGTTTTTAGGCTTGCATGTGGTTCGGACTGCCAACGCTACATTTGAGAAAAGAATGAGCGCAAAATGCCTAAATTTCCTTTTTTTTTCTTTTTTTTTCTTTTTTTTTTTTTGGGGGGGGGGGGGGGGGGGGACACATTTTGTAACTGGCGTTCCTTGCGGGTCCCTATAATTTCGTCGAAACTCGTTTGTTGGACAACTTTTCATGGGCACAGGTTTTATGGAAACACGATTGTTTCATCGACACTCGTTACGCGAATTGCACGCTGCCGAGACATTTCGTCGAGCGTGTACTGTGTGCTCGTTAACCCACCGGGTGTAGCACGGTTGCCCCGCGTGTAGAACCCCTGTCGCAAAAGCCCCGCGTCATTAGCCCCACGTTTCGGAAATTTCTCGTTCAATTACCCCGTCAGTCAAACTTCCTGGTAGGGGGTTGGAGTCCTGGTCCGGATGGTGCTCGCCCGATAACTTTCCCCAGAAAGTTAATAAAAAAAACAACCCCAAAATTGTTTGATTTTGTTGAACACATTACGGGGTGGTACGTTGGTTGGCTTTACCACGAACTACTCTAATCCTGACCTGCCCACAGAAGAATGTGCCAGCGCGCACCTTGTAGTACATGGCCGCTGCCGCAGCGTAAAGTCTTTTTCATGTCCCATGGAGCGAGCTAGCTGACGTCATCAGTTTGAAGCGCGAAAACGGCACCTAGTTTCCCCGATCCCAAAGGAACGAAGTAAAGCTGGTGGATTTCGCCTTCGGTTCCATTGGCTGGCGCGCGTCGACGGCGCTCCCATTGGCCGCTGCGCTCGTCAGTTTCCACGACCGCTCACCCTATGGCGCTGCGTGTCCATCAGCGCGCCGTTAACACGGAGCGTCCAAGGTCAGCGCGCTGAGGAGAGCGCACGCGCTGACCGCCCCTAAAAGTACGCAGCAGACGAAAAAGGGAGCGAACGAGCGGCTTGCATGCTTTCGGATTCACAACTCATGAGAAGTGCTATGGTGTACCTCGAGCTTTTGTTTCCTATGGTATCCGCATGTCAATCGAAGGCGCGCAAGGCGAGGCTGCCTTATCTAATCCTCCTGACCTGCTCTCCTCGCGGGCCTCGCGGAATAGAGTTTTCAGTCGGTGTTCGTGTGACAGATTCGTCACTAGCGGCGCCGGCTACCAGAACAGTGGCTATTTATGGGTGATCCAAGAGGGCGCCTTATTTCGACGATGGCAAAACAGCAGTTGGGGATAAAAAAAACGCCCTTGCGCTTGCCTGCCTGAGAAACGCGCTGTTTCGATCCAAGCAATCATGAGAGCGACGCACCCTGCTACGTGCTACTCGTACTGCAGCCTGCTGGCGCCACGCTACGGTAGGTGTTTCCGATCAAGAGCTACCACCAGCCGCGCGCCGTGCAGACCGTGCCCTAGACAGGCTGTGAACCGCGTTTGGGTCGCTCGAAAGCCTTTACCGACGCCCCTAATGGCAAAGCGATGCACTCCAACGGCGAAAGCGTCTTCTATAGGTAGCCATTCCGGGGGCAGATCAGTATTTTAGTAGGTCGTGGGCTTTACAGTGGCCAGTGTGGCCACGTTTATTACGAAACAAAACAACATGAACTCGACAGTGCAGGTGAAATCCCAAAATTAAACCCCATATACTTTTGTCTTCAGTTTCCCAAAATCGAATCGAATCCCCAAGAATCCTCTCGGCACTCCTTTTGTAGACAAGTAGGGGCCTCCTTTCTTTTCAGGGATCGACCAATTCCCCAAGATTCCACCACTCCCAATGGTCGGCGAGCTGTCAGCCTGGCGCTCCAACCGCCAAAACCAGATTCCTCCTAGAGACATTGCCTGCATTGTTCCCAGACTGGCTGGCGCCAACAGCTAAATTATTACATCGGGCAAAAAGCAACAATTTGATACTGAGCAGCGAAACCCACTGTACACTGGCACACTCGGTTAATATAACAATGAGTTCCAAGCGCGGGCTCTCCCGGGGATCTGTCCGTGCAGTCTCCCGAAACGCTCCAGAACACCAACATAAAAAGATAAAAAGATGCCGACGCTATTATAGAAAGATCAACTTTTCTTTAAAAAAGAAACACCTTAATTAATAAACAGGATTTATACATTCTTAACACCGTCCCATATTTCCCCCGTGCCCAAAGCCACGTCCTTACTGCCCCCGTCCTACCCTCTTCGTGCTTCAACCAGCATTGTTCCATGTCTTAGCCTAATCCGTTGAGGGTCTACGAAGGGCATTTCAAGTGAAAGAAACAACGAAATAAGGTTGACGTGACCAATTGACCAATGCGTAAATCTGCATAACCAGCGACGCACTCCGCTGTCATAGAAGTATATACTCGGACGTAAAATTATAGTCTTCATCTACCTAGATAGATACAAATATTTTTAAAACGACGTAAGAATGGAAAATGGTGTTTGGTGCTGCACGTAATAAGTAAAGCGCCACGAGCTGCGCGTCAACAGTTTTGACAGAACCCACTTTGTCCGAACTGTGAAACCGCGCGTGCTTCGGGGTTGGCGAAAGCTTTTGTTAAATTATTCTTCATAAAAAAAAATGTAGCTTTAAATGTTTTGCCAGTGGCCGATATTTTCCGTTTGATCTCACTTCTAACGTCACAAGACGTGAATATGTAAAGCGCGCATTATTACGTCGCAGAAGCCCGCGTGCACACTTTGTCTCTTTGTTGAAAGCAGAAATCTCCGCCCTCACGCTGGGGACCCGGCCACCTGACACGGGGGATTCGCGTCATGGGCTTCTGAATCTGGGGCTTTTAAAAGCGGGGCAAAAATTGCGGGGCGTTTGCCGCGGGGCATTTCACGCGGGGCTTTTGACATCGGGTGCTTTCGTGCACCACTCAGAACCCACCTCGCTCTGCCTGCGTTCACGACGCTTCGTGGCAACAGTCTGCGGCGGCTCATTACAAAAATGTTAAGCCACGTGACCAACCCGTACAAGCCGCTTCGCGGCGACAGTCTCGTGCAACTTATTACAGAAAAAAAAGTAATTAGAGCTGTCGATGAACCGATCTGTCAACGAAACGTCGTTCGGTGATCTGATTGCCACCGGACTTTTGCTGCAAACGTCTGCAGTGTAAACTAAGGCATGGGCGCGTGGCTTTGGAAAGGGCCTCGATTTATATGCACGAGTTCTCGCCCAAACAAAAGTCCGTCTGGTGAGGTAGGCCTTTGTTTGTACTTCAGACGTCCCGTGCCCTGTGGGATTTCCGTAGTGTGTTATGTGAAACTAAGTTACGTTACGAATCCATGTACGTCTGAACAGTGAATAACAACATGGCGGTCATTTGAATTCGAGAACGAGCGGCGACACTTCTGTCGGGGTTTTAGTAGATCCAGTTAATTAGGGCTCGTTTGTGCCCTAACTTTCTATTTTTGAACAGGCGGCTTTCCATATCATAGTCGCGAACTCTCCGCTTGGTGCCGTCAAGTGTATACAGATAGCAAACCGGGTCCCCGGCTTTGAAGTTTTTTTACGGTATTTTGATTTTCGGTGGGGTAAAAACTTATCGAACGTTGCGCGAGAAGTATTTGTAAACCCCCCCCCCCCCCCCCCCCAAACACACACACAGACATACAGAAGCAAGTTCAGATGTCTTAGCTACGTGTAAAGATGTGTTGCCCTCTCAACATCCGTATATCTTTACTAAACGTTAATTGAGAAAGCGACCTATATAATAATTTCCTTCCTTTAAATTTAACTACCTTAAAGGCAATGCTTTTTTTTTTATCGGATTATTTGCGTCGTTTTTTTTTCTCCCTCTTTTGCTCTGGAGCGGTTGAAAGAGCTTCCCGTATACCGATCTCTTAGCTTTGACCCGTGCCACGGCGGCATTTTGCTTCCCGCAGCTTCTTCGTTCTCTGTTTATGTCGTCGATCCATCGCACGAGTGCGGCAGTGACTCAACAAGGTGACGCCACCGTGTCAGACTGCGAGATGTGTTGCCGTCCGGAGTTTGGCGGTGTCGGCACTTGCCGCGACACGTCCCAGACCCCAATCCATGCGGATATCCTTCAGTCGGTCTGGCGAAGCCGCACGGACGCAATGCCGCGGGCGCCGTGCCTCGCACGCTGCTTACCGCCGCCCACAGCGGAGCCTTTCGGTTCGCCGAACGTACCCGATGACTCCGTCGGACGCAGCGGTGAGTCTGCTGGGATTCGGCATTGTATCTAGAGTCTCGTTTACATGAAGGCGACTTCGGCGCATCGACTCCACTCGTTCTTCGAGTGAAGCCGACGCGGCAACGTTTACATGGAGCTCGAACTTATGCAGTTCCGGCACCAGTCGTAACACGTTTTCCGGTGCATCGCACGTGGAGGCCTTTCCACGCGTTCAGTGACCGTAAAGATCGTGCCCGCTGTCTTCGGTGCTGTGGAAGAAGTTACGAGACGGAAGAACATCAAAACCCAAGCGTTTAGGGCTCCAGGCCGGGCCGCCGGGTCACTCTGGACCAGAGGCGACGTGTGTGCGCACGCTTTGAGGACGCCTCCGCGCTTCGCCGCGCCAGACCTCGCCGATCGCGACCGGACCCCGAGTCCGAAAGGCTCCTGCGCAGCCAGGAACGGCACCGAGGTAGGAGCTGCTCGTTCTGCGCTACCATGCAGTGCTCTACAGTGCTCGGAGCTCTCGGTGTCGTTCGTGCTTGCGCCGAAGCCTTTGGGACCCCTTCGGACGCACAAGTCGTACTTCGCAAAGGTTTGGACGGGGGCCGCCCTTGCCGAGGGGAGGAGGACTGACCGTGACGCCCCAAGCGGTTAACTTTAGAGCTACACGGATGGGGGCAACAAATACAATGACTCAGCGCTCGGCCGACATAACCGAACGCGGCGTCAGCATTCGGCTGGAGTTCGTGTTCTCCGGTGAAGGGGAGGAGGGGCTCTTTGGTTACCACCCCGGCTTGCATGAACAATGCAGCATTCAGGGTGCCCAGCTCAGCACAAAAGCCGAAGTGGGTCAAGCTCGCATTCTCTGACGTAGACGTAATAGAGCGCGGGCACAGTACACTGTGCCCGCGCTCTATTATAATTTATAGAAGATGGGATGGACATGCCCATAAGGCCTGTCGGCATGTGCACAGGCCTTATTTTGAGTAAACACCGAAGTGTGGGTAAACAAAAATTGCGGACGAACATACGGGACCGCTCTCCGCGCCGCCGACGAGGTTGGCCGCCGCCATGTTCTCAGCTGTTCACTCGCTCCCGCAGCGAGCGCCTTCCCATAATCCTCCCCGTTCCAAAATGCGATGCGACCTCCGTTTGCATGGGCTGAGTTAATGCGCACTCGCCATCTCGATCCACCTCTGCCTAGCGACTTGAATGCGATGCGCTTCTTTGCGCATTATGCCGTTTACATGACCGCATTGAATGCGACAACTGGATTTGATGCGACTAAGTCGCATTCATGTAAACGCTGCTAGGATGCCTGGTGCCACTGTTGCGACCGTGGAGAATAGAAGGGTAGGAGAGGGCATGACATCAGCCGCGTAGCCTCCACAACCCATGCTCCCTTGACGCCTCGCCTCTTTCTCATTTTCCTCTTTACTCCTCACTTATCAGTCCAACATGGCCACATCACGTGACCGTCGCTAGCCTTCGTCTAGGCTTCGATATGATAAAACCCACCGGACGGAGCGTGCGCAAGCCTGCAAAAAATCCTGCAATCAACCATCCATTTCGCACGTGACATGTCACGCGCACCAATCGCCAGAGAGATCTGTGGTCACGCTGGGCACAATATCGTTTAAACTTTTTATGATTAGGCTTCACCAATATTGCAACGTGCCCCTCCAAGTACTTCTAACCTCCTTGGTTGCGACGAAGTGTTTGGGGGCATCAGAATAGCGGCAGTTTTAACGTTCGCTCCGCTAGTGTAGAGGGCTTTGCGGGAGAAGCTGTCTTTCTTGACCTGTCAACACGTTCTGAGCATGCGCAGTAGCCTCCCTCGCCGGGATATCGGGCGCAACAGCCAGGTGACTTGGCAATTTTTGCCCGGGTGGTAAGTGCTGGGAGAGAAAAAAAAAAAAAAAAGGTGTATGAATGTAGAAAATGCCCAAGGAGCAGCGCTAAAAGTCGCCTCATTCGCCGCTGCAAATTTATTTATTTACGTCGTCCTGTCCTTTTCTGTTCCTTCGACTTATATGTTCATTTCTGCCCCAGTCTCAGGTTTATTCAACATGTTTAACAAAGCGAATGCTTGTTTGCGAGCCGCCGCGGAGAACACGATGTTTGCCCTGCTCGCTCGGCATGCGTTCAAGGTGGCCGCGGGCTCGCTGGTAACACATCGTAGTCCGCAGACACGGTCTCGCGCGTTCCTTATACTACGGTCAGACAAACTGCCTGCAGACATGTTGGTTGCATATGAAGCTTCGAACGTGCTTGAGCGTGCTTGCAGCTAGAACACCGTGTTTGTGTACGAGCAGTGGGATCTGCGGTTCGAAGGAACATGGGCATTCAGACGGAATGCGCAGTGCCCAACTCTGCCGACACACCGCTTTGGTGGCGCTGCTGTCGGCGCGGCGCTAGAGCGCCTCAATGTTGTTGGCCGCTGCGTCTTAGCGGCCAACAACATTGAGGCACTCTACGTGGCGCGTGCGCACCCACTTCACCTCGCGCAAACATTTTTTTTTGCTTGCTGTGTTTTTGTTTTGTATCCGCAAACGCATGCTTGGTGAAATGGTCCGCGTTTTAGTAGAGGGAAGGTCATCGCTGTTACATTGTGTATTGTCATGTAATGAGAGCAACACCTCTTGACGGTGTACTTACTGATTTAGCGAGGAGTGCGGGCGATGGTTGGAGTCCCGGTCGCCGCGGGCTCTCAACCCTGGTTGTCCATTGGCTAAATTGTCAGCGTCTTCAAAAGACAGCCGAGCTCTCGCGGTACAAATGATTATGGCTTAATTTTACTGTAGTTTAGCTGCAAAATCCTAACCCCTTTGGGCCCATCCGCGAGGGGGCCTGTTTCATTTGAACCCTGGATCATCGGGAGCTGTCTCGGAGACGTGCTTACGCCGAGACGAATTTACGAACCGGTGTGACGTTTTCCTGCTTCGAAGGAGAGGATTATGTCGACGAGACCTCGGAGCTCGTCGAGGCGAGGGAGCGATGCAAATGTCCGGGGAATGAATGCGGATGCGGTCTGCGACAGCGGCATGCGTTGGAGGTCGGCATAATAAAATTTGATCACTGCGGCCGGTTCTTGTTCGAAAAGCTATGACGCGAGGGTCACTGACAACTCCAGCATTAATATATTCTTTTTTTTTCCCCTTTTTCTTTCAAATTTCTCGAAATGGTCCATAAAGATCGCCCTAGAGGTAAAGTAAAGTAAGGGACGCAGTATTTGCAGGGAGGAGCGATCGATGTTTTCAAAAAAGCCAGATGAAATGGATAACTTCAAACCGGAAGTGTCGCTTAACTTTCACTCTTTCCCTCTAATCGATGACGGCAATCATCAATCATGGGTGCTCGCGTCTGCCAACGGACCAGTCGCACGCACAATTCCTGTGCACTTGCCAGTGTTCATCCTCAGCGTGCAGAAAACGCGTCACTTTTCCGTTAGAGTTCCTTTTTTTTTAGCTCTGTTTTTTTATTGATTAGCTAAAATTTCATGACCACTTACCTAATACCGTGTTAATCCACCGTTGGCACGCAAAGCAGTTGAAAGGGTCGCTTTCTGCGTAGTCTTATATCCAAAAAAGTCCGTTAAACTAAGTGCTCAGAAACACTTATAACCTTTTTAAATGCAAATACTGCTGATCCCTTCCAGGGATCGTAGCAGGGTGGAAGGTAACATAAAACGAAGCGATAAGTACCAAAGAGTTACTCATTGCGAACACAAAGCTGAAACAAATGCACTTACGGAGTCTTGGTTAATAATTCGGTAAGGAAGTCTATTCCATTCTACAATCGTTCGAGGAAAAAAGGAGAGTTTGAATGGGGTTTTTCCTCGGGTGGCGTGACCATTAGAGAAAGTGATATATTCATCAACGTTAATTTTGTACTGCCCCTTAATTAAATGAAATAAAAAAAAAAACGAAGTCAGCATACACGGTTTCGTTCTTGAACCGGGACAAACCCAAGCTCAAGGAGTTTGCAGACACAACAAGTTAATGAGATATAGGTCTAGAGTTAGAAATAAGCTCTTTGTTTACGGTTTTATGTAGCAATTTAACTCTGGCCATCTTTCAATCGATCGGCACGCCGCCTTCATTTAGTGACCTGTTGAATATAATGGCAAAAAATTTCGACACAAGCTCTGCATATCGTTTTAGAAACGCGTTTGGCAAGGCCCAGTCACCCGCACATTCTCGAGGGCTGGTAAGTGGTCAAACTTGATAAAAGGGGTCACGAAGCCATCATCGCGTGTGAACTCAGATTTAAACTATGCGTTGAAATGATCAGTTATCTTTCTGGAGTCTTTTTCAAGAACGCCATCAATTATACACGCATTTCTGTGTGTAGTGCTTGGTAAGATTTTATTCCAAAACTCTCTAGGCGACGATTTTATAAGGTTGGGAAGAGAGATGTTAAAAAAAGTGAAAGCCGTTTACAACTCCCTGTATCGCCGAATTAAGCGCAGCTCTTGAGGAGGGGGAGGAGGGAAGGGGACTGAGGGGAAGGTATACCCCTCCTCCCTCCTCCTCACCTCCTTATTCTCCTCCTCCCCTCATTCTTGAATCTCCTCGGGGGGGGGGGGGGGGGGGGGTCACGTGACCCCTGGAGAGGGGGGGGGGGGGGCTCGCGCGGTGCATCATGGAACATTTCCCATAATGCACCGCGCGGTTACACCGACGGCGACGGCGACGCCGCTCAAGCCGGGAACGGGCCCCTAAAAGCTGCGCTCTAAAAAACAATCTTGTGCTTATCTGCCCTCATTCGTTCTTTTAACTTGTCGGAAAGATCTTTAACGTTGTCTTTTAGAAACTGATTTGAATGGGTTTTAATTTTCACTTTTAAACGTATTAGTCGACGTTTTAAAATGGATTGTCGTGAGATCCATGGAGTGTTACGGCTTCGCTTTATAGTTCGTACTGGCACATACATTTCAATACAATGGTTCACAGTGTTCTTAAACCTAAGCCACAATTTGGGTCCGGACATTTCGTCGAACGCCGTTTCATCGAACGTCGTTTCATCAAAACCGTTT